AGGATTTGGGACGCTGGACCCCAGCTCTCCCCCAGCGGGCCGGTTTGGGGGGGGGGTCCCCGCTTCAGGGTTGGCGGAGAGGGTTAAACAGGAGTTCCGGGCTCAGCTGTCCCAGAGACCGGATTTCTCCTCCAGTCTCTCCTGTTCAGAGGACGCTCTATGGAACCAGAGGCTTTAGAGGTGCGAGAGACCCCTTGGCCAGTGTGGCCCGCAAAGGTGATTTCTCCCCTGGAAAAGTCACATCGAGGTGAGAGGACCCAAAGGAAGGAAGGCGGTGTGGTCATCGGTACCGGTCGGGGGAGGGCCACCGGGGTCCGGAAGCTGTCACCTACCCAGTGAAGCAGGCCTTTCCGAGGGGCTGGCAGCGAGGACGGACGAGCACGGCCGGAGAACTGCGGCGGGCCGGGGTTCTGGGGCGGATTTCTAGTTACTGTGCGAGTCATCCCATCCAGCTGAGCTCTGAGTCTGTCGCCCTGATGCCCGGGCTTCCTGGGGTCCTGCTCCATTTCCTGTTGCAAGCGCTGGTGTCAGGACCTCCGGAGGAGCCTGGGTGGGGAACTTGTTCCATTATCTTGGAGCGCCTCTTTTGACCCGGTTCTCTTTGATCTTTGCAATTAACCGGGTGCTTGACAGAGAAAGAAGGCTCTTTGATCTTTAAGGAGGGTCCGAGGACCTTTGATAGTTTCTCTGCATAAGTTTGGTTGCTAGCCTGGAAGAACAGGTTCTGCGTTAGACCGGATGTCCTCACAGTGTGATGTGGGGAGCCCTGCGGGTCCTTGGGAGCTTTTGTAGAGAAAGTTTTAGGGCGAACAGTAAGATGTTTGCCTTTTCTGTAACGAGACACTACATGACTTGCACTTTTCCTCCGATGGCTGATGACCTGTGTATTCTTGTTCCCAGAATCTTCTAGGGGAGCAGGCTTGGGGTGTGGATAATGTGCATTTTCAGAGATGAAATCAGTTTGTTTTTAGTGCTTCTACTGTACATCCTGTTCTAGTGATCTTCGCCTAAACCTGCTCGTAAACTCTGACTTTCAATTCCTGAGTTTTCCCGGGTCTCTATGGAAAAGCAACACTTAAGTGTATTTTGTGGTCGGTTGTGTTTGTTTGTTTGTTTTTGAGGCAGGGTCTCACTTTGCAGTTCAGGCTGGCCCTGAACTCACTATGTAGCCCTGGCTGGCCTCAAACTTTCATTCATCCTCCTACCTCAGCCTCCCAAGTCCTAGTTATTTTGTGGTCTTAATTTGAAACTTTAAAAAATTTTAAGTGGTACAAAGTTATTCTTGAATTTAATCTAGGATGAAAAGATACTGCTAATTTATATATTTTATTCTTAGGCATAGGTTATCGGTGACAGGGATATTAGAACTGAGTTTTTACCTCATTTGTGTCTAGAAATGCAGGATAAGGTGAGATGAGTGTCCTCATGGTTCTTGACTCATGGAGGGGAGGAGTTTACTCCAAAGGAAGAGGCAAAACTAAATTAAAAATTCAGAAAGCATCCCTCAACTTTACTGCTGCTAATAATGTCTTCTGAGTATCCTGTCACAGACCCCTTTGGACTCACACCACAGTGCCCGAACCATCGTTTTGAGTCCGGTTACTCAGAGTTCTCTGAGGGAGAACAACTTCAATGGCTCACCTCCTGTACACAGCTCTTTTAAAAAGCCCCAGTTTTTTGTTACAGCTTTTCAGACTAGGGATGAGTCAGGTATTGAAACACCAAAAAGGATGCGTTATCGGATTGCATGGGCTGGAAAAACACACAGGAAAGCCTTGTTTGGAGGGAAGAGCTCTGAAGGAAATCGTACTGCTACTTTGAAGCGATGCTGTAACTTGCAGGGATTTAGGAAGCTAGTGAGTCAGTGGAAGTGAGTTTTTTGCCTTACAAATGGAAGTAGTCTCTGCTTTGCTTGTGCCCCTGTGGGGGTCTGTCCCGTTGCCAAGGAGTCTGAAAAGTGAACAAAGCGAGCTTGTCACTGCAGCTGCTGCCCGTGGTGTCCCCACTGTGAGCTTGACAGCTCCTCAAAACTCGGGTTTCCTCTTGAGGTCAGAGGTGACCCTAGCAGCACGGCTTTCTGATGTTTACAGTGAAGCGTGTTAGCATTTACTTGAAAGACATGCGTAACTCTCTGAAGCCATGTGTTTGAAAAGTCCAGTTGAGGAGTTTCAAAATCATGCAGGGCTAATTGTCGGCATTAGACGGACTGAAAGTTTTTAATGTAGTAAGGTACAGAAGGTTTATTGACCGGGTTCAGATACACACTGTAACCTTTAAGGAAAGGTTAAAAGCTAGTTAACCTTTGAGTTTTGCCAGAGGCATTATCTGAAAAGACTGAGAAAAATACCATTCTCTTTTCCCAGTACTTTACCCTGTGAGTTTGGATTTTCATACTTCAATCAAAGCAACAGATTGAGTGCACAAGCAGATCTGAGAATTTGGGTGTCTTCTACTGAGATAGATATCAAAGTTTTGTTAAATGCTAACATTTATTATTAAATGAATTAATAAAAATGTTACACGTATTGGTTTTTAGTCTTCTTTCCTCTTCCCCTCTACTCTCCCTCCTTCCCTACTCCTTCTCCCCCGCTTCCCTCCTCTTGTGCTTGGGGTTGAACCCAGGGCCTTGTGCCTGCTAAGCAAGTGCTCTGTTACTTGAGCCACAGCCTCAGCTCTTGCTTCTGACTTTCTATACAGTCAATATAAATTTGTAGCCCTCAACTTTTAAGTGTAAAGGAGCCTTGAAAGTAAAACTTTGAAAACTGGCCTCGTTAACAGTGGAGACGGGTCATGAATGTGGTGAATTAAGTAATGGTCAGCTGGAGTGGGAACGCCCAGCTGAACTGAGTCCGCGTAGTTCTGGGTGTGGAAGATCCACCTGAGGATCGCTGCCAACGGCTGGCTAAAAGAGTAGAAAGGGGAGATACAGGCTGCCAATTTCCCAGGAGAAACTGTTGTGGTTGGTTTTCCCTGAGCCTTGTCGGAGGAGCTCAGTGTCGCTGTCTCTGGGGATGGAGAGCCAGCCTTCAAGTCCTCACCTTGAGCGTGGCTTCCTGGCTCCAGTGCAGCTTCCCAGCCCTTCTGGCATGGATCCTTCCATCTGCCAGCTCAGACTTTGCTGGCTTCCACCACCGGCCTGTGGGTCCCCGGTGCAGATCCTTGATGCAGATCCTTGATGCGGTCTTGCATTGCGGGCCCTCAGCTGAATTCTTTGGGTCTCTAGTGCGAGGACAGATCTCTTGCACTCTTCTGCATTTGATTTGTGGGGTGAATATTATAAGATTTCCTATAAATCTATGTGTCCTATGTTGAATCGACTCCTTTGCAAACCCTGACTACAACAGTGAGGCTGCGGGTCCAATTTCATCCTTGTGGGAAGATGATAGATTCACTTACAGATGGTGCTGATGTCCCTGGGCCACTGCTGTGTGTGCTGTCCATTGCTCCGGGAAGGGTGCTCCCAAGTAGTCCTGTGAGGGGCCTTTCCTGGGATACCTCCCTCACGGTGCTGGCCCAGCCAGGGAGCCCAAGGTCTACTTAGGATAGGAAAGGCAATTTCTACTGCGCATGCAGGAGTTAGCTGGGATGAAGGACCGCAGGTGCTTTGCAGAGCTGAGGACCCCCCCACCAAAGCTGCTGGAGCTCCACCTGCCTTATTTCTGTGTCCTCCTAAAATCTGTGGCTCCTAAGAGTGTGAAAGCGTGTTTCAGAACCAAGGTTTTTATTTTCAATTACTGTGACCTGGCCGTGAGCTGGGATTACAGGAAAGTGTCTGCTGCTCTGATTGTAACCATTGTAAATCTGCTCAAGGTACTAAGTTAAGTTGGGTTTTACTGGAAATGTGTCAAGCTGTGACTTGTTTGCTTTTCTCCCTCCGCACTGCAAAGTAGAAGACACCTGGGATTTGATCCCATTCCTTACCTGTTTGAGGGGTAGTACAGAGGGGACCCTGAAGGCTCTCTGACCCTCTCAGGGAGGGGACATAATGGCACCTACAGGTCATAGTGCCATGTGCTGTACCTGTCTGGGGGAGCCCCTGGCTGTGGGTTGCTTTGCCTGCTTGTCCGGGTGTTGGGGACAGAGTGGGGAAGGTGGGCTTCCAAGCCCAGTGACCTAGAGGCCAGGCTTAAAGGCAGGAGCAACTGGAGTTTGAGAAAATGGAGCTGCCAGGATCCAACAGGCACTGTGACTTTGGAGGCCAGGAGAAAGTGGCTTTTCTAAGTGATCCTTTCAAGGGAGATAGCAGTATAACAAGAATTCTGTACAATTTACTAAATATTGCTGAGGATATTTTCTCTTGACCATCTTCTCTTCTAGTCTGGTCCATTCAAAGACAACAACCGAGTGTTAGCAGGGATTTCCAGAGCGGGGTTATTTAGTCGGAGACCTGTTTAGGCCCTCGGGTGGCATGTGGACAAGTTGAGAGTGGCTGTGTTCGGGATGGAGAGCTTTTTCCAGGCTGGTGTTCAGGTGCCCAGAAGCTGGGTCCTGATGAACTGGGGGAATCTAACTTTACTTCCTGATCCTTGGTTCTTCGCACGCATGATCAAAGAATTCATTTGAGACACATGACCCATGAGGAGATAGGTAGAATTTATTGTAAAGTAGATGAACAAAGTGTTTTGCCTTCAAAGGCATTTTCCCTGAATGGATTTGAATACATTTTAATGCACACAAAATTACCCCCAGGATTCAGAGAGGAAGGGTGATTATGATGCTTATCAACCTTTTCCATAGAAGTTTCTTTGGGATTGAAAAATGTCTTTGGGTCCTTTTAGATGGTTCCTTGGGGGCTTTAACCAGTAAGGAACTTAAGAAAGAACATTTGAGAAGATAAATTCTTCATTTAAATCGGGTCCTTGCCCAAAGCAGGAGGGCCTTTGAGGAACAGCTCCTTTCCTGCTACCACTGGGCTATGGGACAGGGCAGCCAGGAATGCAGATGCCTTTCTCTGGAGTTTGGTGTCAGGAGGAAGTGTGTGACGTATGACCCTAAGATGTCACTGTGCCCTGTAGAGTCAATTTGGGTCTGAGACCTAATGATAGGGCGCAAATGATCACAAATGTGTTTTACACTGAAGTCTGTCTCTTTTTTTGTTTGCGGGGGAAGCGTGTTTGAGACTGGGTCTCAGTATGTAGCCCAGGCTGACCTTGGAACTCTTGGCAATCCACCTGCCTCAGCCTCCTGAGTGCTGGGATTACGAGTATGTACTGCTACACCCACCTTTCACGCCCCCATCTGTCCCTCGGGCCTGCTGATGTCCACCTGCCTGCCTAGCTCTGTGCAGCAGCCCCATTGCCTCAGATGCCTGTTGGTGTCAGCACTGTGCAGATCTGATTCGAATCTGTTTGGTCTTTTGCGTGTGAGGAACAGTTCATCCCTTTATCACGGGCCAGCCGCAGCAGGCAAGGACCAGCTTCCTATCCACCTGACAACGATAGTGTTAATGTCAGTGAGAGAGGTCGTTTTCAGGAGCTGGGGGAGCAGGGTTACCTGGCTAACTCTGCCCCCTTTTTTTCCAGGATGTTTTGGAAGCAGATGCCGGTCAAGATGCTGTGGCGCATTGTGGGTGGCCCGGCGCGGACCCTGACCTGCAGCAGCCAGGCCGCCATCCTGCCACCTGTCCTGCCAGCCCGATCTCTCAGCAGCTCCCCTGTGCAGACCCCAGCAGATGCCCATTTGCACTCTGCCTCTCCCTTGGAAACTGGCCCTCCCCGGGTCTTGATTACAGGTGCATTCTCCTGACCCCTTCTTTCCCATGTGTGGCCTGAGGGCCACTTTCCTTGTATTAACTGTGGCTTTGAACACGTGACGTGCTACAAGGGCCACTTTCCTTGTATTAACTGTGGCTTTGAACACGTGACGTGCTACAACCTCTCCCCAGGCCACCTGTCCCGAAGCAGGTAAAGAGCCAGAGCAGGCCAGGCTGGATGACTTCCAGGCTGTGGTTGTGAAAAGGCCCTCAGCTCAAGGCCTTCCGACTCCCTCGTGTTTACTGGAGCTGCTGACTCCTCTGGAGAAAAAGAATCTTTGGGACGCATCTTTATTCATTCGCACAGGCTCCCCTGCCCTCGGCTTTCTCTAGAGCAGCGCAGAGTCTAAATCTGCCCACACTACTGTTGCTGGCACAAGATTTTTGTGTTTCCTGATAAGATTTTTACTGTTGTCTGGAAGGACCTGGGAATTCAGGGCCAAACCACTCACGTAAGGACTGGCAGGGAGCAGAGGCTAAGGGAGAGAAGAGGGCGCAGGAATCAGACCCACATGCAGCTTTCTGTTCCGACGGCCCCGCTGAGTCGGAGTGACTGGTCCCACACTGCCGGTGCTGCATGTTATGTTGGGAATAGAGCGTCACCTGGGGCCCGGCGTCGCCCGTCCTCTGCTCAGGTGGCCCCTGCCTGCTCCTGCAGGTCCTGCCACGTCGTTTGCAGGGCACCTCCTGCTGTGCCAGCCGCTGCGCACCGGTAGATGTGTTCCATCTCCTCCTGCTCTGCCTGGTTTTCTTCTTTGGCTTTGCCTCGCTGTCCTCACTCCTTCCACCTCCACGAGGGCACCCCCAGGACACCTAGGGTTCCAGTCCCTTGGGCACAGATGCCCCTGGAAATCCTACACTTGACTTTAGCCAAAAGGCCAAGAAGCGATGCCCCTGGAATTCCTGCACATGAGTCTCGGTCCTGCCCTGGATGTGCTCGTGCCCCTGGCTTTCCCATTGCTCTCGGGGGCATCTTTAGGCCTCTGTCTTTGGGAGCTGTGCCAGCCCTCTTGGACTTTGTCGGTGGCTTCTCACTCCCTGCAAACTCTACCCTTTCCTTGAATGACTTCCTGCTCTTTCTCTCCTCTGTGCCCTTGAATCCCAGCCCAGTGCCCAGTGCAGATGGAGGTGGGTTCTGGGTGGTCCCTCCAGAGGGCTCTGCCACACTGGCATTACACAGAACCCGGGAGGCTCAGGAAGCTGGGAGAAGGAACCTAACCTACCCTGCTGGTACAGTAGGTTTAGTAGGTTTGATGGCCCTGCTGACTCCTTTGAGGAAAAAGAATGTTCAGGATGCCTCAGTGAGAGGCCCACTGGGGAAAGACTTTCTTAGGCAGAAACTCAGAGCTCTGCACTCAGAGAAATAGAGGGCATTTATGCTATTCTTGAGTGGGTGGAAACCCCAGGAAAAGCAGACCCCTGCCCAAGAAGGGTCCTGGCCTGTTTTATAGGTGTGAGCCTGATTTTTTTTTTTTCTAAGATAGGTGATTTAAACATTCTTGGATTCTCTCAGCCTGTTCCTTTATCTTAGGATCAGGTTCCTGCTCTGTACTTTCTCTGAGAAGCGGCCCAGGCACTGTCCGTGTTCCTGAGGCGTTTGGGTGTGCTGGGACTGCAGGGAAAGGAGGTCAAACCTAACCGAGGGAAGCTGATAAAGGGTCACCTGGGGTGACTTTGACCGGATCCAGAAGTTGCAGTCTTCTTACAAGTACAAATGTTTTAGCTGCCATTTCCTTGTCTCCTTTCTGCCTACCTTGTGTTTCTCGCCTGCTCCAAAACCATTTGTGTTTGGTGCTGAACGTTTCTGGCACCAGCAGATGAGTTTCTGCACCCGTCCCGTAGTGAGGGCCAGGGCTGAGTTCTGCATGGCCTAGCGTCGGTGACTTTTTTATTCTCGTGCCCTTGCTTCCCCTCAGCCCCTGCCCAGGCGCCCTCATGCTGGAGGGCGTCTGTCACCCAGGGGTCTCTGTCCTAGCTGGGCGGGGGGCAGTCTGTGCTCCCATTGCAGCGCTGTTTGCTGAGAAGAGCAACGGCCAGACCAGGGCCCCATCCAAGCTCCTATCTTTACTTACGTTCTGGCAGTGATTGAGCTGGTTAGATCTGCATTAAAATTTCACTGTTTTTCCTCTTCCTCTAGGGGGTCTCGGCCAGCTGGGAATGGGCCTGGCTAACCTTTTGCGGTAAGAACTTACAAGCTTGAAATTGAAAATCTGAGTTCTAAGTCTGGAGCTCACTCTGGCATTGTGTCAAAGCATCTTTCTCCTCCCACCCCTGGTCACTTTTAAGATATCGCATCTCACTGGCTGTTAAACACATTTTGTTTTGTCTGCCGGGGCCCTGTGCCCTCACTTCTTGCCGTAACTTAGGCAAAGTGAGACTCTGGCCCTGGCCCCGGTGGACCCTTGACTTGTAGTTGTACGGGGCAAAAAGATGCGAACCGTGTGGGCTTTGGAGGGAGTGGGATGAAATAGCCAGGGGAGAGAGGAAAACTTGCGATTCTGGGAGAAATTGGTGACAGAATAGAAATAGAAGGTGAGGGTTCGGGGAGGGGAGGCCTGAGGGCAGGGCTCGCAGTCCAGGGTGCTAAGGGGCAGGGTGCCTGGGTGAAGCGGAAGGGGGACTTGGAGGCTGACTGCAAGTCACCGCTTCTATTGAATGGGTCATTTTCATAGAACCTGTTGCCCCTCAGTGTCGCCAACTTGCGTGTTCTGGCTTTGCCTTTAGGAAGCGATTCGGGAAGGACAATGTGATTTTGTCGGACATAAAGAAACCCCCCAGCCACGTCTTCTGTAGTGGTGAGTGGTCCGTACGCCTTAATGTTGGTTTATTCTTAATTCTCAAAGCACAGTTAAAGATGCAGCCCGTGGAATCTGTGTGTGTGATGGCTCAGAACCAGGCATGAAAACAGAAGTTACTGTACAGTGTATTTTCTGTTTTTTAATGCTGCTGCTGTTCAGGTGATACGAAAAGAGGAGAGCTATTTGGAACTTGAAAGTAAATTTGGAATAATATCTTTAATAAAATCTTTGGTTTCTCTTTCTTGAGTTTTTAGTTACGGCTTGGAGAGAACATAAAAATCAATTTCTGTGATGTGGAAAGGAATTTTTAAAACTTGGAGAAATTAATCATGGTGTTGCAATGTAAAATAAATTGATTTTAAGCTACTGTGCACACACACAAATCTGACTCCCTGAGTGAAGCTTTCTACTGCCTCAAAAACATTTTTGTGTGTTCCAGGAATCGAACACAAGACCTTGCATTGGCAAGGCAGGCTTGGAACCACTGAGCCAAATCCCCGGTCCTCTCAAAAGTATCTTTTGTTGTTGTTGTTATTCAAAAATATCTTTTGTTGTTGTTGTTGTTGTTGTTTTGAGACAGGGTCTCACTATGTAGTTGAGACTGACCTGGAACTCACTATGTAGCTCAGGTTGGTCTCAAACTCACAATGATCCTCCTGCCTCAGCCTTCCGAGTGCTGGGATTACAGACCTTTCTTTTTTTTTTTTTTTGGAAAAACATCTTTAAATTGGGTGTGGTGAAACACATTTATAATCCCAGCACTGGGAGACTGAGACAAGAAGATCACAAGTTTGAACTCAGCCTGGCAACTAGCAACTTATCCAGATGCTGTCTCAAAATAATAAATTTTTAAAATGAGCCGTGGGAAGGCCCTGGCCCTGAGAAAGTGTTACAGTGTCTCTGGGACCTTCCAGTTTGGGGCCAGCCCTTTGCTGCTTGCCCTGAAGGAGGGTAATGACTTGCCCAAGGTGGGGAAGTTGGCCTTGAACACCACTGGCTCTCTCTGTTGTAGTTCAGCATGAGGATCTCGCACTCTGTGCTGCTTACACGCCAAGGTGGGTTTTCACAAAACTCCGCCTCTGTTCCTTTCATCTGTGCACCTTTGCATCAGCAAGCCGTGGCAGCCGGCCCCTCTTCTGCTGTGCCTGTGCTGTTTGATCCGGGCCACTTGCTTAACTTCTCTTGCGCCTCATCTCCTCATCAGTGAAACACAGCCTTCCCAGGCCCCGAGAGGGTGAGCCCCTCACGGCCCCAGCACGGTCCTGTAGGGTGGCCGTGGCCTGCGATTCCCAGGGGGACCGTGTCCGTTTAGCTCTGTGGCCCCAGCCTGTTGGCTTCTGCGGTTCCACTCTGTCTTCCTCCCAGGCCCATTTGTGTTCGCTGACATCTTGGACCGCCAGAACCTCCGGGAGGTCGTGGTGAACAACCGCGTCACTTGGCTGCTCCACTACAGCGCTCTGCTTAGCGCCGTGGGCGAGGCGAACGTGTCCCTGGCCAGAGCCGTGAACATCGCCGGTGAGGGTCGGGGTCGGGCTCAGGGCCCAGCCCCACCAGATCGGTTTTCCCCGCTGTGAGTGGGAAGAGATTCCTCCTCCCAGCGTGAGAGCATCTCTGGGTCCCTTTCAGGGTTGCACAACGTTCTGGACATCGCTGCGGAACACAGACTGCGACTGTTTGTTCCCAGCACGATTGGGGCTTTTGGGCCGACCTCTCCCCGGAACCGAACCCCTGACCTCAGCATCCAGAGACCCAGGACCATCTATGGGGTGTCCAAGGTCCACGCGGAGCTCATGGGGGAGGTGAGTGTCACTCACAGGCTTGCCGGATGATTCCCAGGGCCGTGCAGGTCTCCGCTGCTCCATCCCGGCCTCCAGGGCTGCTTCCTTACCTTACTGTGCTTGCTCAGTGGTCGGTGCTGGTCCCGTCCTTCAGTTGCTGCTCGTCCCCTCTGAATGGCGGTTTTCTCAGGTTCCCGGTATTAGTTGTTACTCGTGGTGACTTTACAGCGTTCTATGGAAAACCTCACACACCTTTTTGGGTTGGTTTTGCATTGTTTTACACCACTCTGTGCGTAATTAACTCTGCGGTTTGGTCGGTGACCTGTCTCAGGCGCTGCTCTCTGATGTCTGTCTTCCCCGCCCCTCTGTGGTGCAGAGCTCAGGACAGGGAGAGGTTGTAGATCCCTGCTGGGATTTACTCTTTGCAATGTCAGTGTATAACCAAGATGGTGAATTTTTTCAAGATTAAAGACTTGTCATTAAAGTAAAGACTAGTGGAAAGTCTGAAATTTTCCTTTCTGTAGGAGAATTTTAATGTAACTATCAGCAGGATAGTTCAGGAGCTGGGTGTGATGGCACATCCCTTCAGTCCAGCACTCTGGGAGGCTGAGGCAGGAGGATCCCAAGTTGGAGCTAGCAAAAAAGAAAAAGAGGGCTGAGGATATAGCTCAGTGCAAAGGCCCTGGGTCCAACCCCCAGTATTCCCCCACAGGGGCAGGGGGATGGTATTTCAGAAGAAAGCTGTTATTTCTTTGTTTGTTCCATCAGATTTAAGGTTATTTTTTTTGAGTAAGTGTTCTTGTTTTCCTAGTATTACTGTCACCGGTATGGACTCGATTTCCGATGCCTGAGATACCCCGGAGTCATTTCCGCCGACTCCCAGCCTGGGGGAGGAACAACAGGTGAGCCTCGTCTGTGGTTCTGGTGCCTGTAACGCAGGCTCCCGCCCTGTCCCTGGAGGCTACTTCCAGACGGGTGGATCTGCCATCTCCTGAGTGCCATCCACGTTCCTGTGCCCTCTCCTAGTGGGAATCTAGATGCGCCTTGCACCCCGTCACTTGCCCACATTCAGAGGCGCACGCTGCTGTTGTCCATCGGCCACTATCGTACTGGAGTCAAACACAATACTCCATGTGAAAACACAGGAAGACCCCACGCGCGTAGCCTCTTTCTTTGAATGTAGCCTTGTGTCGTGATCCAGAGAGAACGCTCTGGAAGGGAACTGTGCGCCGAGTGTCTGGGGCAGCTCCGGCAGCGGCTCCTTCACTTCACACTCAGCTGCTTTGTACTCCGCGGCCTTCACACCAGATCCTTCCCCTCTCAGTGGTCCTGAGATGCAGTAGCAAAGACGCTCGGCAGAGTCTGAGGGATTTTAAAGAGTCTTTGGTTTCTGTCACTTTTGAAACTTTTACCTTCATACTGGGTTTGCCCAAGTGTGGCTCAGGTCATCCTTGCCTCTTTCGTGGGTTGAGGTGACGGCCAGTTTCCTAGCGGGACAGAGACATCACTGGCCATTTCCCCTCTTCCCTTCATAAGAGCACCATGGGGGTCCCCAAGGCTGTGGGCCAGAGACAGCGGGGCAGGCGGCAGCAGCAGGAGCGGACACCAGCTGTGACCCCCAAGCGGGCACTGCGATGTGCGAAGGGCAGGCAGGCTGTGCTCGGCGCTTCCTTTCCCCTATCATCATACATATAAATATATATACATATAAACACAGGTTTGTGATCATCACTCTGGAATGTAGTAGTGCTTTTTTATTTTACTATTTTTTGTCTTGTTTTGGGGGGCTTTTTTGGTACCAGGGATTGAACACGGGACCTTGTGCTTGTGAGGCAGATGGCAGAACCACTGAGCTAAATCCCCGGCCCCAGTAATGCTTTTTTAAAGTCTTGGTTACTCATGTAAGACAGCGTGGATCTAACTTGCAGTTTTAGGTCAAGATTAAGACATCTGAGGGCCACTGCCTCCACCCCAGTGCTCCTTCACTCTGTGGCAAGGAACCCAATCAGAATTCTCTTCCAGACTACGCCATCCAGATTTTCCACGACGCTGTGAAGACCGGCAAGTTTGAGTGCAACCTGAGACCCAGCACCAGGCTTCCAATGATGTATGTGGATGACTGTCTCCGGGCCACCCTGGAGGTCATGGAGGCCCCGGCCGAGTCCTTGTCCATGCGGACCTACAATGTCACCGCCATGAGCTTCACCCCCGAGGCGCTGGCCCAGGAGATTGCCAAGCACGTGCCCGAGTTCCGCATCACATACTGCGTGGACCCCGTCAGGCAGGCCATAGGTGAGTGCCACGGCTGGCACCCCCAAGCCCAGACAGAGCCTCCCTGTTCCCTGCCAGCCCCATCTGGGATGCACCCAGAGCTGGGAACGTGCACAGCACAGGATTGGCTGTCATTGAGCTGGTGAGCAGATGCTGGGCCTGGGGTAACAGAGTCCAGTAGGTGAAATGATTCTGTTCTAAATAAGCAGATCAGAGCACTGCACCGTTTAGCAGTTTAAAAGCAAAAAACCCAGCCTTGGGTTTTCCTGTACTGCAACTGCTGCTTTGTGCCCTTTTGGGTGGGAGGTGCCGACCTTCAAAATGGTTTGAGGTTTGCGGGGTGAAGGTCACAGCCTCTGACAGCAATCGTGACCTAGTCTGGTCCCGTGAGGAGGTGACTGTGGACACGGTCATTCTGCCCCTCTCTAAAGGGCTGTCCTTTCACACACCATCTACCATCAACAGGCGAATGAAATGCCCTGGACCTTTTGCCACTGCAGAGCCTGCATAACCGAGCCACCTTTGTCTCTCTGCAGCCGACAGCTGGCCCATGAGCTTGGACGACAGCACGGCACGGAAGGACTGGGGGTGGAAGCACGACTTTGATCTTCCGGAGTTGGTAACAACGATGCTGAACTTGCACGGCTGTGACACCAGAGTTGCCCAAGCCAACTGAAGGCGTCAGAGGAGCCGCTCCCAGGTCCTGCGGGGCCAGGACAACGGTCAGGACCCAGGGAGCTTACGTTCCGTGGAACGGGATGACAGATCAGCCTGGGTGGAGGGTGATGTTAGTTTGAGGGTTTTCAAAACACTGGGTTTGGTGGGAGGACTTCACACACGTGTGCCTGACCTGATCTAAACATCCATGCTGTGGAGGGAAGACCTAGGGCATAATCGTGATGAGTGACCACTTCTGGAGAGCTAAAAGTATGCTACGTATGTACTTAATTTAAATTTCACCCCGACTCCCTATTCTCTTGACCACAGACCAGAGGTTACATTTTTGGGCCCGGGGATTTAGCTCAGTGGCACTGTGCCTCCCTTGCAAGCGTAAGGTCCTGCGTTTGATCCCCAGTACCAAAAAACAAAAGCAAAGGTTACATTTTAAGGTCTCGGACATATGTGTGCAGTATTCTTTACTGTCCCCTCAGAACATAAAACACGTTTGAATACATTAGTCCTATATTCAGCATGTTCATGAGAGTTTAATGCTTCAAAAATTATCACTTCTCTTGTACATCTCTATCATCTTTCTTTGTTTTTGCTTTTTTTTTGAGACAGGGTCTCACTATGTATTTCAGACTGACCTTGAACTCACTATGTAACACAGGCTGGCCTCAAATTCACAGCAATCCTCCTGCCTCAGCCTCCTGAGTGCTGGGATTATAGGCATGCACCACCACAACCAGCTTCTTTGTGTATTGAGGCAGATTCTCCCTGTGTAGTTCAGGCTGGACTAGAACTCATGATGTAGCCCACACTGACCTTGAATTTATGGTGACCCACCTGCCTCAGCCTTGTGAGAGCTGGGATTATAGTCATGCAGCACCACCCAGCTCTCTCTGCTGTATCGAGGAAATGGAGGAGGTGGAGATGGCTTGTTTGTGGTGATTCTGGGCTGCAACCCTAAGATGGACTTCGATGGTGGGAGAATCCAGCAGGGAGGCCCCACAGTCGAGGCCAGTTCTGAAGAGCACTTTCTTGTTTCAGTCTGGCTCAGTTCTCAGCCCCAGCCCACCTGCAGAGGAGCTGCCCCAGACCTTCTGACCGGACTGCTGTGTGGACTCTCAGATCAATGCTCAGCTACCTCCCGAAGCCACCTGCCTGGGGCACTTCATGCCCCACCCATCAGCTGTGGCCACACATGATCATGGCCACGGTGGATTCAAAGGCATTATATTATGTGTCAGTAATAATAAATTGTTATGCATTTGGAACTGTTCGGTTGCAACGTGAGTTTTTTGGAGGCATAACTGGGTTTAAAATCTACTTGACCTTCCTAGAAAAAGACAATGAAGGTAACAACACCATGAGGCCCAAAAGAGCAAATCAAATAGGCAAGGCAAGAAACTAAAAGAAGGCAAAAAAATAAAGAGTCAACAAAAGGCCAATAACATGACAATAATAAGTCAGTACATATCAGTTATAACCATCAATGTCAGTGGCCTCAACTCACCAATCAAGAGAAATACACTGGCAGAATGGATTAAGAAGCAAAATCCAACAATATGTTGTATACAAGAAACACACCTAGTGCAAAAAGAAGCCCATAGACTGAAAGTGAAAGGATGGAAAACAATTCTCCATACGACAGGAGCCCAGAAAAAAGCAAGGAGTAGCAATCTTATTCACAGACAAAGTAAATTTCAAAACAAAACTCATTAAAAGAGACAAAGCCACTACATCCTTGTAAAGGGAGCAATTCAAGAGAAAGAGATGACAATCATAAACATATATGCACCAAATACTAATGTCCCCAACTATATAAAAGAAATACTAAGAAACATGAAAAACCAAATAAGCACTAATACAATTGTAGTGGGGAATCTAAATACCCCACTTTCACAAATAGATCATCTAGGCCAAAAGTCAACAATGAAATACTAGAATTGAACCAAGCTTCTGAAAGCATGGACTTAATAGACATTTATAGAGTGTCCCACCCCACAAAATCAGAATATACATTCTTTTTGGCTGTGCATGGGTCATTCTCCAAGATAGATCACATACTAGCTCACAGAACAGATTTGAATAAATGCAAAAGAATCGAAGTTATTCCCTACATATTATCAGATCATAGTGCAATCAAGCTGGAGATCAATAGCACAGGAAACCATAGGAACTACACAAACACATGGAAATTGAACAAGACTCCTGAACAATCAATGAATCACACAGGAAATTAAGAAAGAAATCAGAAAACTTTTACAAATAAATAAAAATGCCAATACAACATGCAGGAATCTATGGGACACAATGAAAGCATTTCTATGTGGAAAATTCATAGCACTGAATGCCCACACTAGGAAAACAGAGCAAGATCAAATAACCTAATGATGAATCTTAGACTCCTAGAAAAACAAGAGCAAGAAAAACCGAAAGCTCAAACAAGAGAGGAAATTATAAAGATAAGAGCAGAAATCAATGCAATGGAAACTAAGAAAACAATACAAAAAATAAATGAATCAAAGAGATGGTTTTTTTGAAAGGATAAATAAAATTGATAAACCCTTAGCTAACCTTATCAAAAAAAGGAAAGAAAAAGGCTCAGATCCATCCAATTAGGAATGAAAAAGGTGAAGTCACAACAGATCCAACAGAAATCCAGAGGATTATTCATACATACTATGAGAACTTGTACTCTAATAAAATGGGAAACACAGAAGAAATGGACAGATTTCTAGATACTTATGAATTACCAAAGTTGAACAAAGAAGACAACATTTTAAACACACCAATTACAATCAATGAAATTGAAAATGTAATTAAAAATTTACCAACAAAGAAAAGCCCAGGTCCTGATGGATTCACTGCTGAATTTTACAAGATATTTAGAGAAGAACTACTGCCTTTACTCTTCAAAATTTTCAGTGAAATTGAAAGGGAAGCAGTACTTCCAAACTCATTCCTGGAAGCAAGTATCACTTTGATTCCCAAACCAGGGAAAGACGAAACTAAAAAAGAGAACTACAGGCCAATCTCCTTAATGAATATAGATGCAAAAATCCTTAATAAGATACTAGCAAACAGAATTCAAAGGATCATCAAGAAGATCACACATCCTGACCAAGTCAGATTTATTCCAGGGATGCAAGGATGGTTCAACATACGTAAGTCAATAAATGTAATACACTATATTAACAGAGTCAAGGACAAAAATCATATGATCCTCTTGATAGATGCAGAAAAAGCATTTGACAAAATTCAACACCCATTCATGATAAAAACCCTGCAAAAAATTGTAATAGATGGTCTATATCTCAACTTAATAAAGGCTATCTATGAAAAACCAAGAGCCAACATCATATTAAATGGCCAAAAACTGAAAACCTTCACATTAAAATCAGGAACAAGACAAGGATGCCCGCTATCACCACTCCTCTTCCATATAGTTCTGGAAACATTAGCCATAGCAATTAGACAAGATAAATAAATTAAAGCAATAAAGATAGGAAAGGAAGAAATTAAATTGTCATTATTTGCTGATCATATGATACTCTACATTGAAGACCCAAAAAACTGTACCAAAAGACTTCTTGACTTAATTGACACTTTTAGCAAGGTAGCTGGATACAAGGTCAACACCCAAAAATCAATAACCTTCTTGTACACAAATAACAGAGTCACTGAGAGAGAAATTAGGGAAACTATTCCTTTCACAATAGCATCCAAAAAAATGAAGTATCTAGGAATCAATCTAACAAAAGAAGCAAAAGACCTCTACACTGAAAACTATAGCACTCTGAAAAAAGAGATCAAAGAGGATATAAGAAAATGGAAAGATATCCCCTGCTCCTGGGTAGGAAGAATCAACATAGTGAAAATGGCCATACTACCAAAACTGCTATACAGATTCAATGCAATGCCAATCGAAATTCCAACACTATATTTCACAGAACTAGAAAAAAGAATCCAAAAATTCATTTGGAACCAGAAGAGACCTAGAATAGCAAAAGCCATCCTAGGCAACAGAGACATGGCAGCGGGTATAACAATTCCCAATTTGAAACTGTACTACAAAGCCACTGTGATAAAAACAGTATGGTACTGGCAAAGAAACAGATCTGAGGATCAGTAGAACAGATTGGAAGACACAAAAACAAATCCAGATGTACTCAGCTATGTCATCTTTGACAAAGGAGCTGCCCATTCTCAGTGGAGGAAAGATAGCCTCTTTAATAAATGGTGTTGGAAAAACTGGATTTCAACCTGCCAGAGATTAAAATTGGACCCTTATCTTTCACCATGTACTAAATTAAAATCCAAGTGGATTAAGGATCTAAACATTAAAACAGAAACACTAAACTTTCTGGAATGTAAGTTAGGCAGAGCTCTTGAAGACATTGGCATAGGAAAAGACTTTTGGAACAAATCCTCAGTATCACAGGAACTAGCACAAAGAATCAACAAGTGGGATCTCATCTTATTAAAAAGCTTCTGCACTGCAAAAGAAACCATCAACAGAACTAAGAGACAACCTACAATGTGGAAAAAAGTTTTTACCAGCTGCTCCTTAGACAAAGGACTACTATTGAGAATATATAAAGAACTCAGAACAGTCAGCCCCCCAAATATAAAGACCCACTTCATAAATGGGCATCTGAAATGAACAGACATTTCTCAGAAAAACAAGTAAAATCAGCAAGTAAATATATGAAAAAATGTTCCACATCACTGGTCATTCGAGAGATGCAGATGAAAACAACACCGAGATTCCACTTCACCCCACAAAGAATTGCTGCTATCAAGAAATCATACAACAACAAATGTTGGCGTGGTCGTGGGGAGAAAGGAACCCTTCTCCATTGGTGGGAGTGCAGACTGGTGCAACCACTATGGAAATCAATATGGAGATACCTCAAAGAGCTGGGACTAGAGGTTCCATTTGACCTAGCCATCCCTCTGCTGGGTATCTTTCCAAAAGAATTAAAAGAATCATACCACAGTGATATATGCACACCAATGTTTATAGTGGTACAGTTTATAATAGCTAAAACTTGGAAACAGCCCATTTGCCCATCAGTTGGAAACTGGATAAAGAAGATGTGATTTTTCTATAAAAAGGAATACTACTCAGTCATAAAGAATGAGAAATTAGATTCATTCATAGGAAAATGGATACATATTGAGGATATACTCCTAAGTGAAATAAATAAGTCACACATGTGTAAATACTGAATAGTTTCTCTGGAGTGAAAAGCTATAATAGTACATAAGATCCTAATGCTATAATTGACCATGTGAAATAGGAAGAAAAGGGCTAAAGGTGTAGGGAAAATGGGAAGGCTGGGGGAAAGGTAATAAGGGAAAATAAAAAATATGATAAAAAAAATAATTTTAAAAAAGGGGCCGGGGATTTAGCTCAGCAGTTCAGTGGCCCGCCTTACAAGTGCAAGGGCCCGAGTTCAATCCCAGGTACCAAAAATAATAATAATAATAATTAGAAAAAATATGAAAAAATGGAAATAAAGTGTTTGTAAATGGGGAGGGGAGGAGAGGGTGAAGGGAGGGCATGGACAAGGGGAAAAAAATGAGAACCAAGACCTGTCATGTAAAGGTACAAGATCCCAATAATGAATGTAAGTGTACTGTACACCTTAAATGTACCAATAAACTCAAATAATAAAAAAAAAATCTACTTGACTTAACTGGAAAACTTCAGGTCATTGCATTAGTTGGCCACCCTTAATTTCAGTCTCCTGTAAAATCTCAGGACATGAGCCAAGTGGAGATAAATGTCCTGCCAGAGCATAACACATATGATTGGGAGTCCAACTGCCAATGGAGTCCTTGTTTCCAACTGAAACCTGAGGTTGGACTTCACCAGCTGCTTTTCTATCAGCATTCTGATCTTCTGAGCTCTGATCAGAATCTCCCACTGAGGCAGGAGATTAGGGCATAGTAGAGCTGGCTGGGGAAGTAGGTGTGAACTGTTAATTACAAAACCCCAGGACACACACACAGAACAGTTCCCAAAGCCCTGCACATGGATTTCTCACAAGAGTTTGAGCAGTTTCAGATAGGATGGCCTAGACCTGACATCAGCCGGAGGAGTGGGAGATACAAAGCAATTGGTACTGAGCTCTCCACTACTGTGAGCTCCACAGTAGTTCTGTGATAGAAAAAACAAGAGCAGAGCTGACAGCCTCATGGCTGACAGTCTATGTATGACTTGCCCCT